AAGTTTGGATGTGTGGGTGGTGCAATGGAAAATAGTTTGCAATTGGAAACTGGAGTCAAGTTCCAATTCCAGTTGGGTTTATTATATTCACTTGCCTGCAACTACCTTTTGGGAAAGGTATGAATCCATTCTTCTCCCCCTCAGCTATGGGTAAAGTAGTAGGACTTGTATCAATAAATTGTTATCTACAAAAGATTCTTACAATCGGAAAATATTTTCTGGCTTTAAATAGCCTGCAAAAGGTTAAGCCATATAAAACATAACCAAGAGGACATAGGTGATCATAGCTTCTACAGTTTCCTTTTCTTTTAATATTTGTAAAATCTGCATGGCTTGGGATATATACTGATTTACTTTTTCCTTCTCTCTGGTTTTGATTTCAGAATTGTTATTCTCTTAGACCGGTTAGCAACCAAGGCTGGATAAGCCTCTCTGCTCTACTGTTAAACTGATAATTGGGGGAAAATGCTGTTAGTCAACACACCATAAAAAACCCTTTATTATGTATTCAACATCATCACTTGATAAGACACCAGAGGTATTGAAACAAAATGGCTATTTTTGTAGTGATTTTATAACATATTTGTTATAATTTTCGAATATATATATATATATATATTATATTATATATATTTTTCGTAATAAACATAACTCGTATGAGTGACGGTCAGCCAAACTTTCCCTGACGATCTGTTTAGGTGAAACCTAGGTAGGTTTGTCTGGCTCACTAGGTGTATCTAGGTCTGCTCTACGGTTGTATTGAGCTCTTTGTTAGTTAGTTGTTACTCATATCGGGTTTTTTCTTTGGGCTTCAGACCTGCATCTGTGCGATTTTTTTTGTCGGCAGAAGTCCATGTTTGTAGCTCTTTCTTTTTTAAACCTATTTTTTCCTCAAGATTGATTTGATTAGCAAATCAAAAATTGAGGGTTTTTTAAACGAGTCTAGTTATCTATATTTATATATATATATTATATATATATATATATATATATATATATATATATATATATATATATATATATATATATATATATATATATATATATATATATATATATATATATATATATTATTATATATAATGTGTGCGTGTATGTATGTAAAACCCAGTATTTACACTATTTAGATTGTTCCGACTGTTGTACACTCCGTCCTTCTTCAGGTAATATATGCTGAAATTTCCCACATGACCTAATGGATAAAAGCATTAGTTGGAGTAATCCAGTGATTTGACCTAAAGAGTTGTAAATTCAATACCTGGCCACAGTAGCAGTGGACAAAAAAACTTGTAGAGTTGTGTTACTAAAGAGGATTAGCTGAAATTGAGATATCCAGAAAAGCATGGTACCGCAGTAGAAGAGCGGAGTGTACAGTGGCTGAAACCTCATGAATATGACAAAGATGAGGACAACAGTCCAAACAATGTAAATAATTACAGTACTTCAGCTCAGAAATATAGACAAATGTTGAAACTAGTTGGGATAATATTAAACTATGTTCTGTAATATTGTTGAAACTGTCATTTATTCTCTTTTATTTTTCTCTTTGAGAACAGATTTAAAAAAAAAAAAACTCCCATAGTTGCAAAGCAAAAAAGTGAAGTTTAAAACTCAGTTGCAATCATTTTCACTTTAGAACGTCCTGAAAAATACAGCAACTAGTGATAATAGATAACTGATGACATTATATAAAGGATCATCTTGATTATATCACTAGTTTTTGATAGCATTCATTTGAAATATAATTATTTCAGATAGTGTTAATCTTCAGAAATTAGTCTGGTAATTTTATAAGTTCAGGAATGTAATGTGTATGGGTTGAAGTATATTCTCAGTATATAGATGTACTTAAGTTTTTCTAGATGAATGAACAGTCTGGTAATCATTTTTATCATAAAAAGATTTTTAAAATTACCATCAAGTATTACATTTCCACATTACTCTTACTATAAAATTCATTGAAAGTTCTTCAAGAGTAAAATAAGGTCAGTTCATGTGTAAAATTAAATGCTATATCAGATGATTGTTCATATCTGACATTTTCTAACCAGTGTGTTCTAACACATTTCTGCTATTAATGTTTTTTTTTTCTTTAATTATTAAATTAAATTTTTCAATAAATTTAATCCATTTTATGTTTTGAATTATATATTTGGCTTGTCTAATAAAGCTTAATATTGCAAAAAAATCTTTTAAATAGAGAAATGTCTGTTATAGGCATTATTTTTTATTTTATTTATTTTTTTTCATTTGACAACTCCTGATGAAAGATTAGAAAGCATGTTTATACAGTCAAGTTTGTATTAGCTTTTGCTGTTTGGTATCTGTTTAAATAACACTGGAAAAGGAGAGGCAGGATGAGATGAATTGTTATATGAAACTGCAGTTGTTATATTAAAACCAGTCTGCTTCTATGTGCCATGTCCCCTCAGGATGTGTGTCATCTTGGCTCTCCACAACTTCCTTTCCTTTGTAGCTCTGAATAAAATTTTTCTTTTTGTTATCTCTCCTAAACATTGTTTTGCTATCCATTCAAATAAGCTTGTTAGGTAGGTTATGCACTATTTTTCTCTCTCTCTCTTGCCTTCAATATGTCCTGTAAGTGTCAAATTTTCCAAGCCCTCTTTCCTTATACTATTTACCTTGTTCAGGCTGTTGTCTTCATCTTTGTTGCCATATTCATGATGTTTCAGCTGTTGTACGTTTTGGCCTTCTTCAGGTGATTGGAATTTTGAATCGAACCATTTATTCCATCCACCAGGTTAGATTGTTCTAGTTTCACATACCATGCCTCTTCTGGATATTTCAGTATCAGTTTTGTTCACCTTTATTGTAGCCAGGTATTGAACTCACAACTCTTTAGGTCAAGTCATCCAACCAATGCTTTTATCTACTGGGCCATGTGTCCTCTTTCCTTAGATGTCTAAGAATTTCAATTGTCTCTTTCCAATGCCAATTTTGTTTCTGTTTTCTCCAAAACTTCCTTGTTGCTCACATGTTCAGCCCATGGTATTCTCAGCATCCTTCTGTAGAATCACATTTCTGTTGATTCAAGTTTTTTCTTATTCATTTTTCACTAGTATTTCTTTCATTTTCATTTCACTTGCTTTATTTCCACTAGTAGTATTAGTAGTAATAGTATCTGGATTTTTTTTATTATTATTATTATAATAAAGAAGCCTTGTCGATTCTTATTCATTTTTCACTAGTATTTCTTTCATCATCATTTCATTTGTTTTGTTTTTATTGTGCAACATTAGTTTCCTAAAGATGTTGCAAATGAAATAATATAAAAGTGGATAGTTGTACAAATAAAAAAAATTGTTTGAATTATGAATTTGATTGGCATGTTTGTATTACTTATTCACATTTCTGAAAGTTGAGACTGAAAGTTTTCTCTATTTTATAAGATAAAATATTTGTTCATTTGTAATAAAAAACAATGGTGTCTTCAAAAAAAATTTCTTATCAGATGATGACCCGAGGGCTCGGGAAGTTTCAAGATTACAGCATCATGACCATTAACTCTGGGGCCCCAACAGTACCTCATTATACCACCAGACTATGTTGCTTCTCTCTCACTTTGCAGGAATACCAGATGCAAGCAGATACAGTCTCTTCTCTGATCTTGATCTCCTTTGATTGATATTAACAAGAGATCAGATATGTCAAGGCTGAAATAAAGGCATGTCACCCCAACTTCTGAATATAACAAGTTGAGAAAAGCTCATATTTCTCCCTTCCCTTGCCTGCCATAGCAAAAAGAAGAAAAAAAAAATACCCATTCTCTCAAGAGAAACCAGTCAGCAAACAGGGAAATAGAACTGAAATAAAAAAAAAATTGAATAATTAATGGATAAATAGTCAGGAGATGATTAAAAGGCAGGACCATCACTGGACTCTTGTTTTTTATGTTTTTCTGACTGTTATTTAACCAATGCAATGATTGTATTTAGCGATCTGCATTCAGTCTGTGACCAAATCCTAAACATGCTACTGTTAATCTTCTCTATGACCCTTTCTGAATTGTGAACACACACACACACACACACTAACTAAATAGTCTTTGGTTTTGAGGGGGGACATGTTTGAAGTCATGTAATTTCTCTTTAAATGATATATTATACAAAAAATTTAAATTAAGTTTCTGATCCCCCCCCCCCAAATGGTTCCTAAATCCTTATGTAACCAGTCAGGTTAAAAGACTTCTTTTGTCCACAAGACTCTTCATAGTGACCTTACCAATTTAGCCAATTCTTGACATAATATCTATTGCAAATAGGGAGGCAGTTTTTTAGTTTGTTTTTTCTCTCCCCATAGACCATTTGTCCATTCTTAGAAAATTGCTGCCATATATGGTCCAGTGTCTCTATTTTCCTGTCACTCCTTGATATGATCCAAAGAAGAATTAGCAATATTATTGGTCCTGATCTGGTGGTTTGGCTTCAATCATTGCCCACCACCATAAGATTACCTCTGTGCTTTATTTTTTTTAATATATATATATATATATATATATATATATATATATACTTTCTTGGTAATTGTTTGAAAGAGCTCTTCACTATTGTACCTTGACTATGAATTTAAGCTTGATACTAAATTGGCATTGAACTCTCATCAACTTACAGTTGTGCTAGTTAGATATAACCATATTTTCTATGCTAACAGTTTCTTACCGCATACTTCTCACTTGTGGGACATCCTCCCAACTCCATGCTTTCCAATCAACTTTAATCTGCAAAAATTTAAATGCACTGCCAATCACTATCTACTGTCCTCCTGATTACTCTTTTCTCTTTCTGCTCATTAGTAATGTTTCTGTTACTAATTCCTCCATGCCCCTTGCATGCTAGTGGCTTTACTGCCTTGTTTGGAGTGATACCAATTAAAAAACAAAACAAAAAAACACTTTGTATAGCATAATAATTCTTTTGGTAAAATATAGAATTTCATATGGTATAACTCTGCCCACCACAAGCATTGTTCACCTTGATTTC